GGGATCACAGGGGAGGTGGATGGGGGATGGGTGAAATCAGTGATGGAGATTAAGGAGGGTTCTTGTGATGAGCCCCAGGTGATTAAAATAAAAACTAAAAAAAAAGGTAAAATTAAAAAATTGAGTATCACTTAAAAAAAAGTAATTTTAATTCCAATGTTGACATACAGTGTTGTATTAGTTTCAGGTGTACTTTTCCTGGTTTCTTAAGGTATAAGTATAAATAAATGAATTGAAAATTTTCTTTTATAAGTATTTCTTGCTATAAATTGCTCTCTATATAAAACTTCAGCTGCAGATGTTTTGTTGTAGTTTGTTTTTATTTTCTTAATAAGAAAACTTAAATTTCCCTTCTGAGAAAAATAAATAAAATAAAATAAATGTTTGGTAGAATTCACCCGAAGCTTTCTGATCCTGGACTTTTGTTTTTGGGCAGACTTTTTAAATTACTGATTCAATTTCATTACTTGTAGTCAGTCTATTCAGATTTTCCATTTCTTTGTGATTCAATCTTGGAAGATTAGGTGTTCTAGGAATTTATCCATTTTCTTCTAGGTTGTAATGTTGTTTTGTTGCTATTTTTTATTCCTGGTAATCTTCTTTGCTCTAAAATCTATTTTGTATGATATTAAATAGTCACGCCAGTGATCTTTTGATTGGTGTTTGCATGGCATATCTTCACCATGCTTTTTCTTTAAACCTACTTATATCATTATATTTGAAGTTTCTTACAGATAGCAAATAATTAGGTCGGGAGCGCCTGGCTGGCACAGTCGGTTAAGCGACTGCCTTCAGCTCAGGGCATGATCCTGGAGCCCTGGGATCGAGTCCTGCATCAGGCTCCCCACTCGGCAGGGAGTCTGCTTCTCCCTCTGACCCTCCCCCCTCTCATGCTCTCTCTGTCTCATTCTTTCTCTCTCAAATAATAAAATCTTAAAAAAAAAAATAATTAGGTCGGGTTTTCTTTTAATCCACTCTCACAATCTCTTTTAAATGATGTGCTAAGACCACTTACATTTAATTCAATTACTGTTATGTTTAGATGTAGGTCTATGATTTGTTTGTTCCCTGTTCCCCTCTTTTAAAAAATCCTGTTTCTTCTTTCTTTCCTTTTTTGGGGTGATTATTTTCTTTTTTTGTATTATATCTTTATCCATTACAATTTTGACTACATTGTTTTCTATAATTCTTTTAGCGACTGCCATAGGAATTACAAAATGCATACTTAACTTTCCACAGTCTACTTAGAATCAGTATTTTACCACTTCAGTCAGAATGCAGAAATACTTTTGACATCGAGGTCATTTCACCCCCTCCTATCACAGTTTCTTTATTCCATTTACATACATTAAAAGCTGCATCAGACAATGTTCTAATTTTTTGTTACCAGCACCAAACCTGTTTTGAAGAACTCAAGAAAAGAAGTCTATCACTTTCACCCAGATATTTACCATTCCTGTTCCTCTTCCTTCAGCCCTTGTGTTCCAAGTGTCTCTTCAGCATTCATTTCCCTTCTGTCTGAAGATCTTTACCAATTCTTTTAGAGCAGGTATACTGGCTACAAATTCTGTTTTTGTTACCTAAGAATTTTTTTTCAGATTCATTCCTGAGGAATATTTTCTCTGAAAACAGATTTCTGGGTTGACAGGTTTTTTTTTTTCAACGCTTCAGAAATGCTGTGCCACTTTCTTCTGGACTCCATGGTTTCTGGTGAGAAATCTGCAGTCATTTGGCTCCCTTCCAGGACCTGCATCATTTTCCTCTGGCTGCTTTCACAATTTTTTATCTTTATTTCTCAGCAGTTTATGATGTGTCCAGGTATGGATTTCTTTGGGTTTATACTTTTTGGGCTTCATTCAGCTCCTTTGATCTATAGGTTTTGTTTTGTTTTTTTTTTAAAGATTTTATTTATTTATTTGACAGAGAGAGATACAGCAAGAGAGGGAACACAAGCAGGGGGAGTGGGAGAGGGAGAAGCAGGCTTCCCGCTGAGCAGGGAGCCCGACGCGGGGCTCGATCCCAGGACCCTGGGATCATGACCTGAGCCGAAGGCAGACGCCCAACGACTGAGCCACCCAGGCGCCCTATAGGTTTGTCTTTCACCAAATTTGGGAAGTTTTCCACATTATTTCCTCAAATATTTTTTCAGCATTGCACTCTTTCTCTTCTGCTTCTGGGACCGATGACACAAATGTTAGACCTCCATTTCTGTTCCACAGCCCATGAAGCTCTGTTAATTTTTTTCTAAGTTCTGATTAGTTTAGGTATCTTAAGTTTTTTTTCAGTTTTCGAGTGTCCATGTGTCTCCTCTTTGTATCCCACTTCTTCACAGATACTTTCCACTTTAACATTTGTTTCAAGAACGTTTGTGACTGCTTGTTGAAGCATATTTACAACAGTTTCTTTAAAGTCTCTGTGAGATCATCCCAACATCTATTTTATCTTGCCACTGCCAAGTGTTGGCTGTCCTTTCCCAATGCAAGTTGGCATTTTTATGGTTTTTCATTTGATAAGTATTTGGATTGCACTGGTTGGATCAGACTGGATTGGATTTTGAATATTATGAGACCCTAAGTCTGTTTACATCCTATGGTGATAGGCTGATATTTTTCCTTTAGCAAGCAGTTGACCTACTTAGGTTCAAGCTCAGAGTTACAACTCATCTTCTATGACCTGTGGCTATGACTCAGTTTAGTTGTGTCTTTGCAGTTCTAATCTGACCTGAAACATGTGTGTAGCACTCAGGGGCCAGTCTATCCATCACCTCAGTTCTCAGTTTATTATATGCTAATTAGAATCAGATCCATACCCGTACAAGTCAGGGGCAAGCCCAGGAGTTCATCAACAACTTTATGGGGTTGCTTTCCCAAGCTTCTCCTTTTTGCATTATTTCCCTGATCCATGGGACTCCCCTTTCCAACTCCCTAGAGAGAAATCATTCACTTCCACAACTGTGAGGAGCAGAGTTAAGTGGCTGGAGAACAGAAAGTGAAAAAAAAAAAAAAAAACAATGGGTTTTGGTTCTATAACCTTTGAGCCCTGGCTCCACCCAGCAGAGAAGGGTTCTCCCTTATATCACCATGTTGGCTCCTGTTACTGCTGCTACCCCTCAGAACTGTCTGTGGGCTAGGGCACGAGACAAGGGGGAAGAAAACAGCGAGGGACCCACACCATGCTCTGAGCTTTAGGAGTTCCTTCTTCTTCCTGCTCTGCAAGCCAAAACCAGTGGGTATCTCCTGGAGCTTCCCTGTCTGCACCCAGCACTCACTCCCAGGCTTCACACTGCCCTGAGGCACCAGAGGGAAATGCCAAGCTCACCACTAGCCCAGGAATCCCTGGAATTTTGGTGCACTTCCCCATCCTCCTGTTGCTACTTACTTCCCAAGTCTCAAAGAGCTGTGCTCTGCCCTGGCTCCGGCATATAGCTAGCTTCAGGAAGTGAAGGGCTGGTGTTGTGTGCACACTCCATCTTACCCAGAACCAAAATCTCTGTCTAGTTATTTTTTACTGAGTCAGATAGTGTGTTCATAAAGTTGGACAACTGTGAGGTCCAGAGAGTGCTACCTTCCTGCAGAAAGGACCTGAGTGCTTCTGCCCGAGCACACAGCAGGCACCCCGAGGTCACCCTAATGCGGGAACCATGCTGAGGCATCTCCTCTCTCTGCCTGGCCTGTCACTTTGCCAGCAGGACTCAGCCCCTTTTCTCTGGGCTGGTGAGCTGTTGAAGCTTCAGTGCTCAGCCTCTCAGTCACCCTGCAAGAATGGGAACTGCCCCCAGGGGAACAGAGCCAGCACTGGGCTCCCTTTAATCCTGGTCTCCATCCTACCCTGGACCCTGGCCTGATCTGCACTGTGCTCAGATGCCCAAATACCTTCAAGCTGACGATCTTTATAATTCATCCAACTTCTCTGATCATCCTCAGTGTTCATCCGAATGAACAGGTCTGCCATCCCTGGAAGTAGCTAACTCCTTTTTTTTTTTTTTTTTTTTTTTTAAATAAACTGGCTCCAAAAGGTTTCCCGAGATCAGTGCACAGATGAGGGAACTACGGCTTACCTTGGGCATGTCCCATGAATCACTGCAGCACATCGAAAATCAGCTTTATTTCTAGAAGGGTCTTTCCCCCCAGTTAACTATGTGTGTATGCATTAAAATCAAGTAGTAGTTGAGCATATTCTTATTTTAAAAACTGAGCCACTGCAGACAATCCTGTTGCCTCCCTGATCCTTCGGCCAGGTTGGGCCAGTCCCTTTATCTGAGGTCACCAGCTCTCTGTTATTGGCTCCGCTGGGATTTTGTTATTAGGCTGACCTTTTCCCCATAGGAACAAACCTCCAAAAGTATGATGGAAGTCATTGGGAGCACAGGATACGAAATGAAAAATGATTTACAAATATTTTTCACAAATGTGCCACAAAGTTAGGTCAAGTTACATAATTGGCAACTTTCTCCTGCCAGCTTACAGGGAATTAAACCTAAAATCTGTTCAAGTGACTATTTTCAGCCTCCCAAGGGACCAAAGAATCAGGATTTAACCGACAGCCCCAAGGGCAAGCTTGCTGGCATCTGTCCACACAGGGGCAGATCAATATCAGGCAGATTTCCTTGGGGACAATCTAAAATCAGAGTTTTAGCACTGAAAGGGACTTTCCCACCCTACCCCCAGAACAAGCAGACCCAGGAGGAGCATGTCCCTGCAGGTGGGTCACACAGAGCGAAGGAGTGAGAGGTGGGAGCCACGCGCCCACACTGGTAACAGCAAGGGCAGAGACCCCCCAGTACACTCCTGGGCAGCCTGGGTGTGTCACCTGCACCATGAAGGTAAGGACTGGCTCAAGCCTGAGTGCCACCTTGACTGGGCTCATTAGGAGGAAAACCAGGCTAGGGATGCAGACATGATGTGGTCCCAGGCTACTCTGGGCTGCAGGGTGACTGTGCTGGGAGAGCCAGCACGCCAAGTTACCAGGGAGAAGGGCTTGGAACTTCCAGCTGCTCCTACCTTGGCTGGCTTCTGGCTGCACAGAGCTTGGAAGAAGTGGGGGCGAAGATTCAGGGGCCTCCACCGCTGGGTGCTCAGCCACTGGACAGATGATGAACCACCGCTTCCCTGTGTGCAGGACTATGGAGCAGGGCAAAAGCAGCAGGAAAGACCAAGTGAATTTCTCCCATGGCCAACAGGACCCCCCCCCACCATTGGCACCAGACCTGCACTGGGGAACTCACACCGGTGGGGGGGCATGTGCAGCCCAGTCAGGGGGCTACTGGCAGCCTGGGGCTCACACAACACTGCCAAACACAGGCTTAGCTCCTGGGATGCCTGCAGTGCCGTCAGCAAAGGGTAATGCCAGCCGGGGCCACAGGAGGCAGTGTTAAGTCCACACCATGCTCAGTCCCCACCAGCGCCAGGCCCAGCTCCTCAGGTCAGCCCTGCCCACACCACACACTGCAGCAACCACCCCCACCCCTGGTGATGACTAAACCCCCTTACGATACGCTCAATGGGGTCTGATCAAATGCCCGCTAAAATACAGAAAAAGAATGGGGATGGAAATGCCTCCTCCAAAGATGTGTCTGGCTGGCAGATGGGGCCCAAAAGGCAGACGTACCGTTCTGCTGATATACAGGGGCATTTGCCTGGGACTGGTGACTCTCCTGGTGGAGGTAAAGGGTCAGAAATCAGCAGACCACACAGAACAAGGACTTTCTGCACAGCACAGTGTGGCCTCAAAACATCCAAGGGGCCTCTGGAGCTCTGACGTTTCCCACTGAAGGTGCCCACCCACCCGGCCACCTCACCCAACACTGCGTGACTCACAGGCACCTCGGGCAGGCCTCGTGTGCACAAAGCCTAGGTCTAAGGCATCAGCAAGCCCTGGCCCTCCCAGAACCCCACACCCGGGACTCACCTCCCTGGTGCCCAGGCTGCAGGTGCTGAGGTGCGGTGGGCTTGTCCCAGGGTCAGAGCCACGGTCGATGTCTGTGTCCTCACTGAGCATGTCCTCTGCCTTGTCCATGACGTCTTTCATCTGTTCGATGAACGTCTCCCGCTCAGCCTGCAGGATGAAATCGTGCTCCACCTGCAACAGCACAGGGAACACTGCTGGGGGCGCCGCGGGGGTGTGTGTGCCGGGTCTTCCCTGGTGGATCTATTTCACTTCCGCTCTGCACTCAGCCCGAGAGGGGAGCCCCAGCCAGGGGGCTGGCTCCACAAGAGAGGCAGCCCTCGAGGTGATGGGCCAGCACTGCCTGGGGCGGGCAGCCACCTGCAGAGGCCAGGGGCCCCCTGGACAGGAGACGGCCTTGCCGGCCCGCGGAAGGCACCCGGCCTCACCATGTAGGTGGCAATCTCATCGGGCGCGTCCCCATCCAGGTCGAACTTGAACGTCACCATTTTGTGGTTGTGTGTCTCTAGCTGGCACTCCACCATCTTGTCGCCCGTGTTGCACACCTACGGGACACTCAGGTGGTGAGGCCGGGAGCAGGCCACGTCCGGGGAGCCCTGTGCCACCGGCCCGCCCTGCCTGGCCACTCACGTTCAGGATGGTCAGCCGGGGGCGGCTGGCTCTCTCCTGGCGGGAGCGTGCACGTGTCGACCGGCGGTGATGTTTCCGGGTGGCCCTGCCTTCCAGCCGCCCCCCGCCGAACGCACCCTCACAGCTGTCGCTCGTCTCTCTGCCGGAGGGAACATCGGACCCTCCGTAGCTGTGTGGAAACCAAGAGCGTGACGGCAACCTGCAGACCAGCCTCACGCAGGAAGCTTGGATTTTCAGGAATAGCCAGAAAACCTGGAGGGCCCGAAGCCAGCCTTGACCCCACCTTCAGGGCCCCCAGCCCCTTCTGCTGCCGTTCCGTCTCGGGTAGCACTGGCGTCGTGGGGAATGGGTGGGCTGTCTGACCCGGGACCTCTGTCCTCTCTGACTCTTGACCTGTGACTCAGGCCCCACGGGCTTGCAGAAAGTGACAGGATTAAGAAAATCCTCCCCTGTGCCTCAGTTTCCCCATCTGTGTAACAGCAATGGGAGCTCGACAACCCCCTGGGACTACTGCACTGGGCCACACGGCCACTGCCCGCATCCAATCCCTCCCCAACCATGACATGTTCTGTGACAACAGGTGGCCAGCAGCCATGGGGCCGGGGGGCCTGGGAGGGGGCCAGACTCTGCCCTGCCCTCCCAGCCTCTGGCGGCCCCCAGGCCTGCCGACTCTTTGTCCACTGCCTCTCCCTTCTAGAACATCCCGGGCACCACGGACAGGCACTAGGATCAGGACACGGATGGGAGCACGAGACAGCCAGAGTCCAGAGGACCAAGTCGGGCTTGGAAACGGGTGACACCGCTAGAAGCCCTGACTCGTGAGGGGAAGGTGCGGTGGGCATCAGTGTGAAGCGCAGCAGGTGGGCTGAGCGCAGGGTGAGCCCATGGCCGCCCCCACCGTCCCCAGGGGCCAACGGGGCCGTTACCTCTCGCAGCTCTGTGGGGGGCCGGGCTGCTTGTCCTGGGAGGCCTGCTCCTGAAACAAAACCGCAGACAAGAGGACGGGTCACGGTGGCACCACCGCACGCAGCCTGCTGTTGCCCCACCGCCCCGGCCCAGAGAGCTGACCACGTGAGGCCGATATGAGGGTTTTTATCTTGTGGAGTTCTTAAAGGCGGGGGCCCCTCCTTGGCCAACATGCTAACCCACTTTGATTTTCCCCACTGGCGAGCACATGGGCCCAGGAAGGCTTGCCCCCAAGCCTTCCCACCACCCCCGAGGGAAGGCCCCGCAAATCCACGTGTAAACACCATGCTCTCCAAAGGCATGCATTCGAGGAAAGCCTGACATTCAGGGCCAGTGGAGGACAGTTAGAACGGTGGGCCCAGGGCACACACTTCCATCTTCCCGAGCACATCGTGACTTCCAGAGCTGAGACCTGACATCACCGCACGGGGGGCCGCTGGGGTCAGGGATCAGGGGCTGAGCCCGAGGGCAGGGGCACACACCTCTGGGGCCGGCTCCACCGTCAGCCGCACGGCCGGGCAGGGGCTGGTAATCCCGGGCCCAGTGGGCGGCAGTGGGCGGGTAGCAGGCGGCAGGAGTGGGGCGGTCTGGATGGGCAGGCTCTGAGAAGCAGCTACCACTGCAGGGGCCAAGGAGCTGGGGAGCTGAGGCAGCTCGGGGACAGTGGGCGGCAATGCTTCCGGCAGAGGTGGGGAGAGGATGGTGGCTGGCGCAGGCGCCACGGGGACCTGGGCGGTGACATCTGCAGCATATGGAGGCGGGTGGCCAAGTAGGATCTGGGGGCACAGGGGACAGGGATTCAAGTCGGAGGACTGGCCACAGCTTTGCCAAGGGTCCTAAGCCAAGGCAGGCGAGCACACCCATAGTCCCTCCCCAATCCACCCATGGCCTCGGAGCGTGTTAGCACCAGATTCAGCAAAAACTCTTGGGTCCCTGTTTGTGTACAATCGAATCTAAAACCACACTTCGTTTACAAACCCGTAGCTGAGTCCAGCTGAAGCTCCACGGGTGGCATGTACTTAGCACCAAACACGGCCCCCCGCTGCCACCCGAGGGGCCTGACCCACACGCTGCCCCCTTTCCCAGCCTGTCAGCCACACGCAAGAGGGACCCGGGGACCTTGGCCTTCAGTGGGCTGGACTCCTGACGGTCCCCTCTGTGAAAGCTCCTGGTGGGACGGTTGAGACACAGGTGGAAGGAGGGCCCCCCCGTGTAGACAAGCGGGAGCCTCCATCCCGCCTACCTCCGGGATGAGGTCAGCAACGGGCAGGCCCACTGCTGGCCCTTCTGGTGTGGGACAGACCAGCAACATGGTGCGTGGGGTCAGATACGGAAGCCGCAGCCCGGCGGCCCCATTCTCTCCTAGAAGAACCCCAGCTGCTGTGTTCAGGGGAGTCCGCTCTCAGCACAGGGAAGCCTGTGAGGCGGCCAGCCCATCAAGCAGGGCCTGTGACCCTCGTCCCACCACTGTCAGGATGGCAAGCGGCCTGAGGTCCCCACCTGACCCCGGACATCGTCCTTGTCTGCTGTGTGCCCCTCAAAGCCCTGTCTGCCTCACTGCCTGGCTGCTGAGGTGGGGGTGAGCCCATGCTGGGGCTGACACCACCATGCGGAGGGTGCCAGACCACGCCCAAGGGAGGAGGGCAGGTGCCCCGACACCCAGCATGGCCAGGCACCACCCCACCCCCACAAGCAGCTGCAACTGACCCTCGGAAGGGCCCGATGGTGGAACCACAGTCACCCCAATTCCGCAGCTCTGGAGGAGGTGGACATCCTACACGCTAAAGAGAAGCCACAGTCGAGGAACAGGCCTGCTCTCCCATCCCCCGTTCTGTCCCCAGGTCAAGGTACCGAGGAGCAGAGACCAGAGGCCCTCTCACGCCTCAGAGTTAGATGCTAAGACATCTCCCAGCACCTGGAGGGCGTGGCCCTGCGCAGCAGGTGGATTACCTGGCTTCCCGCCCCGCCTGCTGGAGCAGCCTGCTCGGGAAGGCGCGCAATGCTTGGCTGGTGGGGCTGCGGCAGGGTGGGGGGCGCCGGCTGTGCAGGGGCAGCCCGCACGTTCTGCGCCACGTGGAGGGGAGAGGGTGGGATGTCACTGGGCACCATCTGCGGGAAGGTTGCCGGGTACACAGGCTGGGCCGGGAGCTGGGCCATGGCAGCAGGGTGAATGGACAGGGCGGCCACACCCTGCGGGGCCACGGCCAGCAGAGGGATGGCAGTGGCAGCGGCAGCCACGTTTGGCACAATGGTCCGGCAGGGCACAGCCAACGGCGCCCCAGCGGGGTGGGGCAGCTTGACCGCCTGCAGAGGCAGGGCCGGTGACGCGGGCAGGGGGGCGGCAGCGGCGCTGACCGGGAGGCTCGGCAAGATGACGGTGGGAGAGAAATACTGAGAGGGGGTAGGCACAGCGGGCCCGCTGGCAGCCGGCAGGTCGGGGAGAGCTGTGGGGAGGCCGTCGATGGGGGCCAGGGGTGCGATGGAGGGCCCCACAGGAAGCGGAGGCACCTGAAAGAGAAAGGAGTGCATCGGCGTCACCAGGCCTCTGCCCCGCCCGCCACACACCCGCACCGCCAGGAGGAACTCAACCGCGAACCCAGGTCAAACGGGACCTCGGAGCGCGCCCCCTGGTGCCGTGTAAGGGCCACGCCGTGGTCCGCCCTGCAGGGATGGGCGGCTGCAAGGACAGTGGGGGGCTCAGGTCTGGGTCTTGGCAGTGCCCACCAGCTCTGTGGCTCGGGCCCGTCTTTGGAGAGCCAGGACCGTCAGAGCCACCAGCCGGCCCTGAAGATCTGAACACACTCACACAGAGACCACGTTCTGTGGCGGGCTGTGTCAGGGAAAGCATGTCCTTGAGCGCCCATGTGCTGAGGCAGCACCCCTGTGCTGTGGGGCCTGGGGAGCGGGCTTCTCCCGACAGCAGAGCTCTGGAACCTTCCGCGTCTGGTCTTCCATCCTGGAGACACCTGGTATCTGACCTCCTGGAGTGAGCACTTCCAACATTTTAGATTCTCCAGTAGTTCTGTCTCTAAACCTTTCTGGTGGGGGGCGCCTGGGGGGCTCAGTCGGTGAAGCGTCTGCCTTCGGCTCAGGTCGTGATCCCAGAGTCCTGGGATCGAGTCCCGCATGGGGCTCCCTGCTTGGCAGGGAGCTGGCTTCTCCCTCTGACTCTCCCCCCACTTGTGCTCTCTCTCTCTCAAATAAAAACTTTTAAAAAAATAAAATAAATAAACCCTTCTGGTGGCCAGCACACAAGCTCCATCACGTGATATGCGCCTTTGTGCAATTAGAAAGCAGCTACCATACACGAGCCAACTTCTGCGCACTGGAGAGCAAACGGCCATTCAATTAGACGGTGAAAACAACCTGATGTGGCTGTGACGGGGACGAGGCCCGGTGACAAAAAGAAAGTTCCGGATGGTGCCTGCAAACTGCAGGGACACTCACATCTTCAAACGAGGCAGCATGTCGTGGCCCAGTCCCACTGCCACGATGTGATGGACCCATGAGATGAAAGCCGTGGATGGCACCACGCGCCATCGAGAGTCACGGGTCACTCGAAGCCGTGGACGCCCCAGGACCACGGTCAGCACAGCCTGGGTGGCTCCATGATGGACAATGGCCATAGCATTGTGCTCCGCCCTGGCTCCTCCGGCCCTGACCCTGGACGAAAGCTCTCCCTGACCTGGATGGACAAGCTTGGGAAAGATGCCAAGGGCAGGTGGGCACAGCCGCCTATCCACAGGGAGCGCTCCCAACCTGTGGACCCACGAGCACTCGCAGCCCGGAGGACGGAGTGGCCAGCCAGACTGGGGATGCGGGCGAGGCGGGGGCAGGGCGGGAGCTACCTGAGCAGGCACTTGAGAGAGTGGCTGCAGATGTGCTGGTGGCATCTGGAGGGGCTTCAACTGAGCAGGGGCCACCACCTGGGACGTCGGAGCTAGGTAGGGAGGCAGGTGGGGGGGCACCGGCTGGAGAGGGCCCACGGACGGTGCGGCCAGGACAGGTGGCAGGGGCGCTGGCTGGGCCAGCGGAGGAGGCTGGGGAGAGAGGGGGCTTCTCTTAGGCCAACGTACTGCTGAGACACCCCCCCACCATGTGCTTAGACACAACCAAGAAAATCGACTCCCACACACACATGCACACACGCACACCCAGCCTGGAGCCCGAGACACGCAGATCTGGGGGAAACACTCCGCGTAAGCGGTGCCCTTCCAAGTGCTATGGATCCAGGAACCCCCACTCCCATCTGCACCCCAGGCCCCGGGGAACCACAGAGAAGGAGTGAAGGGGGCCCGGGCCCACCTGAGGCCCACAGGCCCTGGGCCAGCAGACCTCGCCGCCCACCCACACCAGGCAGGAAAGACTGAGGCACCCATGGGTGGGGCCAAGCAGGGGCAGCCCACACTCACCTGATGGCCGGGGGGCGCAGGCTGGCCTGGGCCCGTCGGCACGGGGGCAAAGCTTATGGCCGGCTCTGGGAAATGCTGCTGTGGGAGCGGAGGGTGGGCTGGGGGCGGGATGGAGCCCACCGGCAGGCCAGGCTGCAGAGAGCATGGATGACCACGCTCACCAGCTGCCTGAAGGCCCCCCACCTGGCTTGCGTGCCACAGCTGCTGGGCCCCGTCCCTCACTCCCTGAGCCTGTCACCCTAGCTGGAACTTTTCCCTAAGCCCAAAGCTTGGCACAGGTGAGGTGTGGCAGCCCCTAAGCTGAGAATGGCCACTACTCCTAATCAAGGAATGTTCTGGAACTTCAGTTCCACGGGATATTATGCAATCGTGAGAAAAGAACGTCCTAAGGGGCTTTGCAGAACCAGGGAGAGACACTGGTTCCAACATGCGGTGGGAGAAAGATACAGATGCACTTGCTTTCCGTCTATAGGACCGGATGAAACACACGCATGTAGATACATCACAAACGGGATTTGGAAGGCTGTGAACAATGGGGGACGGCAGCGGGATCCCCAGGGGTGTGGCCACCAGGAGAAACAGGCCGTGGGCGAGTCCTCACCGCCAGCAGCAGCCCAGACACGGCCCAGGAAAGAGTCCGAAATCTGAGCACTGGGTGTTGGGTGCTATTAAGGAACAGCTGCTAACGTGTTCACTTTTAGGTGCAATAAGGTGGTCAGAGTCTGTTCTCAAGAATCCCGATTCCGCAGAGATACAGACTGAAATCTTTACAGGCAAAACATCTTTCTGGGGTTTCCTTGGAAATCCTGGGGCTGCGGAGGAAGCAAGTGTGAACACAGGGAGGGCGTCTGAGGCGGAGGGCCCAGGCCTCCACACTGACCCGAAAGGTCCTCTGGTTTTCTGGGGGCTGGGACCTTCCACTCGCTTCATCCTCCACAGTAAATGCTCCGCGAGAGCAGCATAGGGAGGGACGTTTATCTAAGGCCATGGTGCAGAATGAGCCGCGGCCCCAGGCCCAGCGGGAGGCAGCAGCTTCGGTGCCCAGAGGCCTCAGAGTGGCTGGTGCACAGACTCCTCCATCGGCCCCGGGGGGGGGGGGGGGGGGCGGGCATCACCAGGGCAACCCTCCCGGAGGTCCTGATGCACCCGAGGGACCCCACACCCCCCCCCGTCTGTCCCAGGGGATTGTCCGCAAACAGGCAGGGACATGGGACAGAGTGCTCTGGCCTCGCCCGTGTGGGGTGCGTCTGGCCCGGCGCCATGAGGGCCTGGGCGGAGGGTAACGGTGGCCAGGGAAGCCCAACCCTGCGCCTAGGAGGAAGGGGGCCAGCAGAACGTTCCTGCTCCGCCCCAGGACCAGCCACCCGAGGCCAAGCCGCCCCACTCCGAGGCGACAATCTGCCTTTTCCTAAACAAGTTCCTCCCGCCGTTTAAAATCTATTTCACTTCATCTCAAGAAACTAGCAAAGCGACAAACAGCAGATGGACATGAGTCTGGGCTCCCAGCAGCGGAGGCAAAGGTGCCGGCTGCTCTTTCATGGGGACTTTCCCAGCCCCGGGGGACGGGGACAGAGCTCAGGCAGTGCCAGGACGGCAGGGGCCTGGGGGCCCAACTGTCCGTCCGGACCCTCCCCGGCCCACTCAAGGCCAGCGCTCTGCAACTGGCCTCCTGGGACTGGGAAGCCTGGGCCGTATCTGCTTCCTCCAGCATGAACACAAGCATTGAAGAACGAACACCGCACGTGACCCCCTGGCCTAGCTACGCCCGGGTCACCGTCGGGCCAGGTCTCCACATCACAAACCACCCCGCAGGTTTCTCCAACGTCACTGCACTCTTTCCACTCTCCTACTTCTAACATTCAATGGCCGCGTGGTATCTGGTGGAGAACGGCCAGGAGCTACTGAACTCAGCGCGGTGGACACAAGCTGGATGCTCCTCTGTGGCCCTAGCCTGGCCGCAGGGCGAGACCCTGCCAGGTCCGTCACAGTTCTGAGGCCACGGCTGTCCCTAGGCTCTGCATTCGTACTCTCTCACCTGCTGCAGCCTGCAGTGACCTTTGAGGATGGCCTGCCCGGGGCCTGACAACAGGCTGCTGCAGCCTGGATGGCCCGGGAGACACAGGGCCATGGGGATGGGGTCTCCGCCCGAGGGGGCGGGCTGACTCACCGCGGCAGGCTGCTGGTAGGTCCCCAGAGAGGGCAGGCTGTAGGGCAGGACTGGGCCGTCGCTGACACTCACGCTCACCGGGGGGCTGCACACACACTGGGTGGGGGGCGGTGCCGCATCCGCCAGCGAGCCCAGCACCACACTCTGCTGGCTGCTTTGTGAGTCCGAGTACACCGTGGAGCCCTGGCCACTGTCGAAGGTGCTGTCCGCTGGGGAGGACAAGGGCACGGCTCAGAGTGGATATCCCCACACATCAGCCCCACGGCACTCCACTCAAGTCTCAGGGAGCACGAATACGCTCAGACACAATGCTCTGCTGGTCCCTGCGCTCTTCTGCAAACTAAGGCTTGGTCGTATTCCCTGGTCACCTGAGTCCTCAGTGCATGTCGTTCTGGACCATTGACCCTAGGATGCAGGCGGTGGGGGCTGTGACCCACCCGGAGATACCCTGGCACCCCACCCCAACACCACCTGGCGTCTGGGGGTCACCCACATGGGTGCCACGCATCCCAGGTGGGCCCCTCACACAGTCCTCGGCAGGAAGCACAGCCGCGTCCACCCCGGCTGCAGACAGGGACCTCACCTGTCCCCTGCCCAGGCCTTGAGAGTGAGAGCTCAGTGAGCTCTTCGAAGGCGCGAGGGGTCTCCTGTAGGAAGCTGACAGCAGGCATGCCCAAGTCAGGAGAAGCTAGGGTCACCTGTATTTCATGGGGAGGGACTCTGACTAGTTTCACCACCACAGCAAAGAGCCCGAAGCAAGAAGAGCTGGGTCCAAACCCGGCCCTTACGTCACGGGCCCGGGTCTAACCTGGCTGGAGAATGGGGCTGACAAGGCCCCCACCCCGCAGAGAGGCTGACAGGGGGACCCAGAGGCTCTCCGGCCCGAGGAGGCCTTCCAGAGGCCAGCCTCCCCTGCACCTGCGGTCACAGTCCATCAACGCGGGCTACCGTGGACAGAGCCACCCACACACGAGGCACAGCCCGCGGCCACAGGCTCGCCTCCCCAAGACGCACCTAGAAAGACAAACCGCCCCCGAGGCCAGGCCAGTGAGCAGGGAAAGCAAAACCCTGCATGAAATGGCACTTCCAGAAGCTGCACGCACACCGACTTGCCACCCACGCACCGAGCACTTCAACGCGGGCGCCTTCCAGGGCGCCAGCATTGCGTCCATTTGTGATTCAAGCAAATGGAGTAAAAGGGAATCCTGCTGGCTTTACATCAAAATAATCTGTCCCAGGGGCTGATCAGGGCGTATTACAACCTGGGAAGACACGCAAATGCCAAGGTCTCATTGCACAGAACCAACCCAACCAGCGGCTCCGACTTATAGTGAGGAAGCTGGCAGTCGATTTCACCTACACACAAAGACAGAGAGAGACAGACACACAAAGAGACAGATACGCAGAGACACACAGAGACAGAAATACAAAGAGAGAAAGAGACACAGACAGAAACAGACACATACAGACATGTAGACAGACGCACGCACACACACACACAGAGAAACAGAGACAGAAACAGACATGCAGAGACAGACACAGAGACACAGAGGGAAACACAGAAACAGACAGTGTGTGTGAGCAAAAGAGAAACGTGTACAAACTTGGCAGATGTCACATAAACCAACTCTAACCATACACACAGCACTGTAAATTTTTAAAGGGAATGTGTTTGTTATTTCTATAATTAAAAATTAATTTAGGGGTGCCTGGGTGGCTCAGTAATTAAGTGTCTGCCTTTGGCTCAGGTCATGATCTCAGAGTCCTGGGATCGAGCCCTGCTTTGGGCTCCCTGCTCCGCGGGGAGTCTGCTTGTCCCTCTCCCACTCCCCCTGCTTGTGTTCCTTCTCTGTGTCTCTCTCTGCCAAATAAATAAAATCTTTAAAAAAAAAAAAAAACTTAGGGCGGCTGGGTGGCTCAGTCCTTAAGCGTCTGCCTTCGGCTCAGGTCATGATCCCAGGGTCCTGGGATCGAGTCCCGTATCGGGCTCCCTGCTCGGCAGGAAGCCTGCTTCTCCCTCTTCCACTCCCCCTGCTTGTGTTCCTGCTCTCGTGCTCTCTAATAAATAAATAAAATCTTTGAAAAAAAATTAAAAAAATAATAATTTAAAAATCGTCTTTAGGGGCACCTGGTGGCTCAGTCAGTTGAGCATCCAGCTCTTGGTTTTGGCTCAGGTCATGATCTCAGGGTCGTGGGTGTCTGGCTCTTCACTCAGTGGGGAGCTGCTTGGGATTTTCTCCCTCTCCCTCTGCCCCTACCCCTGCCCAGACATGCACACTTTCTAAAAATAAATTTAAAAAAACAAAAAATTGAAAAATTAAAAAATCATCTCTAAACCTACTGCAGTCGCTCAGTGCTGGCCCACACCCTCTTGCGGAGCCTGATGTGGGCCGAGGTGGGTAGCTCTCACACCGCATGGCGGAGAATCCTACCACGCTGTTCGCCGTACCTTCTGCTCTGCGCATGTCTGCCCACCCATCGGGTCCCTTCCCCAGTGATGTGTGTGCAGCCTGGAGTCCCATCATTTCACCTTTACAAGGCGCAGAATTTTCAGGGCATCCACACACACTGAGGCCGAAGGGACAGCAGAGCACGGGCCTTGTGTTCGGACCAGAGCACAGTGCACACGCGTGTGGGTGTGTGAGCTATCAGACGTGCACATTACCTTCGGAAGTTACCACTAAGAGACAGGTAACGTCAGTGGCCTCTGGGGCGGAGCACTAATCGGCCTTTCCTGCACACCCTCTTGCACTGTTTGAATTTTACACAATGTCTACTTTACAGAAAGAACCACAAACGAGTGAAACATTTTGAGAGTGTGGCTGCCGTCGAAGCGAGAGAGCTGCTCTGAGTCGACAGGAAGAGAACGTTTGCAACAGACCGCCCACCCACACTGATCCCGCCTGCGATCCCCGTCTGTACGGTGGGCCAGGCCAGTGCCGGGACGCCCCCGACCACAGCAGAGTGTGGTGGTCTCTCCGTTCCCGCCTGGAAACTGTCCCACCGACAGTCAAGTTTTTAAAGTGGGAAGTGGCGTGTCATGAGGAAAGCTTTTTCCAACACAAAGTGTATGCTCATTAATTAATTTTTTGGTTTGTCAAAAAATGGAGCGATGATGTAGTGACTTTATTTTCCGAGGCAAACCTGAGCAGGTCGGAAGGAAGCCAACGGCAAGCAAACGGTCTCCAAGTGACAGGCAGCTACTGGTTTGAATTTAAATAGCCTACTTTGAAGAACGTTAGCTATAATTTTAATGATAAATGAACTACGTGCCTATTAAGTAAATTGAACAGGCTATTTTGGTCTTTCGACATGAGCAACCTGAAAAAGCAGCCTGCGCAGGCTAAGTTCTACTTGGCACTTATTCACAGGATGGACAGGAAATGCCACGTCCTGATCCTCAGCTCACAGCTGCATTTTTAGGCCACCGAGGGCAAAGGTCAGGACACCGTTCTGCCTGGACGTGCGGAAAACGCTGGATCCTCTCTCCCACTATTCTGACATTCAGAGTGATTCCCAGCAACCCATCGCTGACACTCTGGGAAATGTGGTAAAGGTTTCAGAGGTCGGGCACTACAAGGGACATGATCTTGGGGACAGATAATCCCAATGGCAATGGTCACGGCTCAGAGCATCATGACTGCTGGAGACCACAGTCATCTGTGGCCCCAGGGCAATGGTGTCCCAGCAGGGACACCCCCACCAGGCACAGGACTGACATCCTCCGCACGGAACAAGGAGCCGGACAAAGCCGCTCCAACCTGTTGGCTTGGGGCACGGGAGGCTCTGAATCTGTCTGCCCATTTGTCCCCACCTGTCCTGAGAAGGTAGGCTGCGGGGAGCCAAAGACACCCCAATGCCGGTCCCCGGAAGAAGGCTCGCCTACACCTGCAGTCCACGCCTGCAGCGTGCACAGGGCTTGAGGGTGCGGGGAGGGCGGCACTCACAGGCCAGGGAGGTGGCGCTGGCCGGCAGTGCGGTGGGGAGGAGGTGCTGGTCCGCCTCAGGTTCCTCGGGCTCCGGCGGCCCGGCCTGCGCATGATAGGTCACCTGGACCTGCAGGGGTGCAGGTGGGCCCCTGGCCTTGTCGGGGCTGCCTGGGTCCCGTTGTTCCGGGGGCTGCAGAGCTGGCCAGATCCTCTCCCGCCGCCACTGGATCAATGCTACACGGTCGCGGATGGACTTGGCCACAATCTTCACGTCACTCTCGTGGAAGAATCCCGACTCAATCTGCAAAGGGAGACGTCATGTCATTACTGGGGCCCTGCCGTCTGTACCACCACCTCCCGCTCACGGTGTCTCTGCAGAGGTCCCTCCTCAGGCCCTCACCCCATCTCTCAGAGATGCTCTCATCTTCCCATTAGGAAATACCCTCCCACTAATGGTAAATCTGCAGGAAGCACAGCCCTCTGAGCCTGCACAGCCCCGCTCCTGGGACAGTGAGGACGCGGCAAGTGCTTGTGCCTGCCCGGGGAGTGGAGGGGAGAGACCCTCAGCATTCCCCAAGAAGGCACGGACGGAACAAGGGGCACCCTGTATCTTGAGGCCAGGATGGTAGGCACCCATGCCCAGAAAATTCTGAACCCAGGTGAGCATCAGGAGAGGGTTTGGGAAGGAGCCCTGGACCTCCGGGAAACGTCACGGCTCTCCCTGAGGAAATCTCTGGTAAAACCATGGAACAGCAGAGGCCAGTCTCCACACTGACACCATGGCAGCCCCGTGTGGGAAGGGAGAAAGCGCAAAGGTTTTGGCACTGGTCAGGAACTGTGAGCCCGTGGCTTTCAACACACAGTAGACAGAACCACACCCAGATGCAGACGTGAGCATGTGGCAGGGCACGGGTACAAGCCTGCAGAACACTGGGCAGGCCTGGGGAGGCGCCCGGAGTCTGGCCAGTGTGAGTGGGCGGGGGGGAGAAGGAAAAGGGGCCTAGACACCTCGCTGTGCCTGAAAGCAAGGCAGACCCAGAGAACTGAGGGGATGTTCAGGAGAACACAGGCACCAGCACCACGGGCCAAACGTGGACATTCTGGGCATCAAAATGCAGTGACACCACGATGATCTGAGGAGTGTGTCCACAAGTGCACACGAGGGGACACAGCTACCACGCCTGGGGTGAGGCCACACGGGATGCCACGGTGCGCCATCTCTGTGCCTCCCCGCACACCCCCCCACCATGCATGGACCACTGTTCACGGGAAGCCGAATCATGAGTGGCCTGAAGAACAACCCACTGACTAAATATCGAGTCTCCGGCCAGGAGCCAGGTGAGCGGGCATGGACGCCGAGTGACCCTCAGACCTGGCCAGCCCCAGCCAACACCCCAGCCACACAGCGTGGGGAACCCAGAACCAGAAAGACCCACTTAGCTACTCCCAGGTCCCTGACCAGGAGAACATGTGAGACCACAGGCCTGTACAGCACTGCGTTTGTGGTGACGCACCTTGTGGTCATAGGTAACTCACCAATAAAACCACAGTCCACAGAGGTATAAGTAAATGGAAAGTTTGGTGAAAATGGGTATTTACCCAGTTCCAAGGTACACCCCATGACATAGTCATTAATTGTCACTCCACACACAGACCATGGGCAGACACCCCTCGACCGTGTGCTCTTGGGGAGTGTCATCCAGGGGCTGGCCATAGTGAGGACACAGCCCCACACCAAGTGCTCCCACAGACACGCTGACATGACCGCAACGGTGCCCTTCATGGCAGGATAACCAAAGATGGTCCCACCCAGAGGAGCTCCTGCCTTGAGGGAGTCACCACACATCACAGGGCGCCTGGCAGGCCTGAAGTGGTTCTCCCAGTTCTGACCGCGGAGGGAGCTGAGCAGGAAAGCTACTGTCTGTGGGCAAAGATGCGGACACATTCGAGGTGGCAGGGCATCCGCCTGGATGTCATCTCAAACGGTTCTTTGTTGCACATTTGCAACTTTTCCGTAAGTTCGTGACTGATTAGTTCAAAATCTCTCCACCCCGCTGGACAGAAAGAACCGTGTTAAAATCCCGCAGGCCTCTCGGCAGTTGGCCTCCCACCTGCCTCGGGCACGGGCAGCAGTGGTGTGAGCAGTGGCACACGGCCAGGACGCGGGCGAGGGGCCGGGCCCGCCCGGAGACCGCTGACAGGAAGGCGCCCCGCAGACGCGCCTGCCCGCTGCTTCTATTTTCTGCCCATGGCCCAGTTTTCCTTCCGTCTCTGTCCTCACGGTCACACACCCGGCCCGGCCCGCCCCCCCCCCCCCCCCGCCCACTGCGATCCTCTCCAAGGTGTTTCTTCTATTTTTTCCCAAACAGGGAGAAAGAACTTAGCCCCATTCTCTGCCGTGCTGAAGTGTCGGACCCAGAGGCCTCGAAGGCAGGAGGGGCTGGTGCGCCGACATGGGGACCCTGGGCTGAGCTGCAAGCCCCTCTCCCCGGGTCCTCACGAGGTCACTTCCAGGTCAAAGCCAGCCCAGGTCCCCACAGAACTCGCCCTTCTCTCAGCCCCTGGGGCACTCGATGGGTCCCCTGCACCCGCCCGTGAGCCAACTGCTGGGAGGTGGTTTTCGGTGATGACATGGGTGTGGGGGTTCGCTGGTGCTGGGCCCTGCATTTGGAAGAAGTAGGTGTGATCCGTTAAAGCTGTTGGTGAGTGACCCAGAGCGGCCAGGGGCAGTGAGCCCTGAAACGCTGCCCCACGACGGCTCCTCGGTCGGGCGCCTGGCCCAGGGACGGCCTGGAGAAGCCCGGGAGAGGGAGGGTCTGACCCAAGGCAGGATCTGGGGCTACAGGCGGGCTGGCGGGGTGGCTGGGACCGCCGACAGGAGAGGCTCCCCACGAGGAGCTGGTAGCAGGGGCCAGGCCCATCGGGGTCACTCGCACAGGGCCGAATCCCGCCACGGGAATGGGCCACTGTCGGCTCATCACTGGCTCATCCTAGTCCCCGAATGGAGGGGGGTCCACATCGTTCTGTCATCATTCTTCGACCAAACGCAGCAATGCACGGTCGGCACCGATGCTGCATGGCCTGTAAGACGCTCCTCACGAGAAGGTGCTTTTAAAAGATGGTAAGGGGAGGCGCCGGGTCCAGGGGTCTCCAATGTGAACTCATGGACACCGCCCGCTGAGTCCAGCCAAGAGCCAGGGGGGCCACGCTGAGGGTGGGCGAGGCGGCAGGCCCAGGTGTGGGCACGGGACCTGGGGGGTCCGGGAGGTGGAGGAGGCCGTCGGGACAAAGAAGGGAGGGGTCACTCAGGAGGATGGGTGGTCCTAAAAAAGGTCCCAGGTCACAGGTGGGCACCATCGCATCCTACAGCTGAAGAGCGTGTCAACGGAACCAAGAATGGACCCAGAGCTGGAGGAGATGCCTGGTCCAACTGAGGCACAGGAAACCATCTGTGCCGTGGTCTCATCATCCCCATGCATTGCCGCGGCACTTGACCCCTGCTGGGCTCTTACAGGAACCCATCTTGGGCAGAAAGGTTCCCTGGGTATATGGAGCAGGCGCAGTGCTCACGGGAGACCCGGAGCTGCTTGCCTCCTGTGCATCCCGAGGCGCCCACACTGGCCCGGCCTCGCCAGCCCTGATGCACCCAGTCCTCACCGCCGCCCCCAGGGACCCACCTCCCTTCCTCCTGCCACGGGACAGCGCTAGCTCCTGGCCCAGTCCCCCATTCCCGTGGGCCCCCCAGGACTCAGCACTCGCCCCTCGCTCCCGGGCTGCCGGCCTGCACGTCCCCTGGCTCATGAATGTTTGTGCATTAAGTTGGGCCGCAGGTGGGAGGGGACCACCCTGCTGCAGCGCAAGGACCAACAGCAGCCCTGAATCCCAGGACTGATGTGCTGCTCATCACAGCACAGCTCCCGCTCAGTACCCAGCAGCTCAACATCCTCTCGGATGTGCAAGCGACATGCCGAGTTTCAGCCACGTAGAGTGGTGCTGTCCCGTGTCTGGGCCCAGGGATGTGACCAGCAGCTGGGAAGCTGCGGGTGGTCCTGACCTGGGCTCCCGGCCATCAGTGGATGTCCTGCTCACCACACGTGCAGGATACTCAGCCTGCCAGCCCTGCCCTGATGCACCACCCACGGCAAGATCCTGGGACCCTCTCCTGCTGCTGTCCACCCGCCGCACCAGGCCTCGGCCTTCAGCCCACACCTGCCATGGCACAGCTGGCTGTTCCCTCATCTGAGCAGGGGCTTGAGGATCAGCGTGGACTCCTGTCCCACCCTCCAGGGCCACAGTCCACATCCTCCACCTTGAAACCCACCAGGGCCAGGGGGTCTAGCTCTGAAGCACCCGTTTTTGAAAGGTGTGCTACAGGGGCACCTGGGTGGCTCAGTCATTAAACGTCTGCCTTCGGCTCAGGTCCTGATCCCAGGGTCCTGGGATCGAGCCCCGCATTGGGCTCCCGGCTCCGCGGGGAAGCCTGCTTCTCCCTCTCCTACCTCGCCTGCTTGTGTTCCCTCTCTCGCTCTCTCTCTCTCTGTCAAATAAATAATTAAAATCTTAAAAAAAAAAAAAAAGAAAGGTGTGTTACATTCAGTAAGGCGCGGCCTCTCCTGCAGCAAACGCGGTTTTACTTGCGCTCGCTTTCTACACGAAAATCAGTGTCCCCTTCCTCACATGCACCTTTCCCTCCGAGATGCTGAACACCCTACGCCCCTGCTCCTGGACACAGTGCCCTCAGCAACAAAATGAAAGATCAAACCAAAGGCCCACATTCACACAGTCAGCCAGACTCTGGCCAACACAGGCCCTTCCTCATACACCCAGGCCCCCAGTCCCTCTGTGCCCCGCTCCTCGGGGCCCCTCACCGCGTGGCCTCGGGGCAGGTGCATCCATGCAGCAGGGGCCCCACCTGCGCTGTCCTTCACAGACACACGCACCCCACGGGTGGGATCCGTGCGCCCAGGACTGCCCCACTCACCACGGGGCCACACCCCTGTGAATCTTTGGAGACCCCAGCTTTCCAGGCACACCCCTGCCTCCGCCGGTACCCGCCACCCCCCTCCACAAGCAAGTGCCCTGTTACCATCTCCTGTGCCACACCGTCAGGCGTCTCCTTCTCCAGGTCAAAGGTGAACTCTATGGCCCCATTGTCCTTGGGCTTGCCCTTCAGTTTCTTGGGGTCCTCAACCCAGAGCCGCAGGGCGATGGTAGACTTCCTGCCGTGGTCTTCCTCGGCCAGTTCCACCCTCACGCCCGTGTCCTCTGCGAAGAAGGCGTGGCTGAGCAGGTCCTTGATCTCGTACCTGAGAAGGGGCAGCCAACGGTGAGGGCATGGCTGCTGGCGAGGCCCCAGACAGAGGGCCCAGCTCCCTCTAGAAGGTCCACCGACTACTGCAGTGGGCAGTGCGGTCCTCGAGGGCAGCACACAACAGCACACTCCCAGGGTGAAGGGAGACTGATGCCAGCTGCACGGCACCAAAGGCTGCTTCTTTCACTCCTTATAAAAAGGAAACATCCCCATCCCAAGAGGCTCTGGGAAGTGAAGTTTCCAAACCTGGCTCCGCACCCTGCAGACAGGCCTGTGGAGGCGCCACCGAGTTCCCAGGGGTCACAGCTGAGGCTGAACCCCAGAGCCCTGGGCGTCCTGGCTGCTCGGTGTTGTCATAGTAACCACGCCCCATCCCTAAACAGGAGCTTGGTCCGGGTGCTGTCCGGGGCCTGGCTTCCTCCCAGCGTCCTGTCTGTCCGGGCGGCCCCTCCCTGATTCCTGCGTCCCGTGGACAGGTGGAGCCCACGCCCTGTGGACGCTCAGCACCCAGGAAAGGGCGAGCAGACACATGCCTGAGGGGGCCCCTGGGGAGCAGAGGTCGTGGCCCCTGCCGGTCCTGGTCTGGAAGGTGGTCTTGTGGGGTCTACTCTGAGGGTTCTTTAGCCCTACATGGTTGTTTCTGTACTTCTCTGACGGGAGTTCTACCTCACGATTCCTCAGTTCTTTTCTCTGAAAGAACAGAACACGGTAACCCACAGGGGGCAGGGGAGAGAGGTGATGGCCATGGACAAGAACACGGATCGAGGGTGAGGACAGGGACAGGACGGCCCTGTGCTGGGCGCACGGGGTGGGGGGGGCGCACGACGGGGCAGGGAAGAGGTGTAGGGGGAGAGGAGGGGGAGGGATGGGGGATGAGATGAGGGAAGGGCAGGGGAAGGTGAAGGTGGGAGGAGAGGAAGGGAGAGAGAGGGCGAGGGGGTGGGTGGAGGGGTGAGGAAGAAGAGGAAGGACAGGGAGGAGGGGGAGGGGGAGTGGGGAAGGAGGTGGCGAGGAGGAGGAAGAGACAGGAGGAGGGGAGGGAGGGGAGGAGGGCGAGAGGGGGTGGGAGGCTTCCTGGCTGACCAGCTGATGAGGTGGGGGCTGGTGCGGGGGCAGCTCAAGGGCTCTGACTTGGGGGCTTTGGGCTGAGCATGGGTACATGGGCCTCACAGTCTGGAGGCGACAGGAGGGGCAGGCTGAGGGCACGGGGGAGCCCCTGCTGCAGCCTGGGTGGGTGAGAAGCCCCTGGCAGAGCGGGGAAGCTCCAGGACGGCCCCCAGACCAGGGAGCGTGCTCCGGGCAGCAGAGGTGGGACCCTGGCCTGAAGCAGCCCGTCCGCCATGAGCGCAGGCAGGTGCGGGGATCTCAGCGTGAGCGACACCCAGACCCGGCGCCCCACCGCACTCACCTTTCCTCCTTGTTTTTGCAGATGCACTCCCCAATAATCTCCTTGATTTCGGGATCGTGCACTTTCTCAAAGCTGGCAGGCTTGATGCCCTGCAAGACCAGAGGAGCAGTCAGGGACAGGACAGGACCTGTTTCCCGCTCAGCTGCACTAGCCAGGCAGGGGGAAGGCAGGAGGGGCCCAAGCTGGCTGGGGACGCGGCTCACGCCGAGCGCGGAGGGGCTGTTGGGAGCAGTGGGGTCCCCCCCCCAGGAGGAGCGTTCCCACACCCAGCACAGACGCGGCAGGTGGCCAGGGCGACCACCTTCCTCACCACACCCTCCTGCGAGGGTGCCGAGGGCCCGGTGCTGGCCGAGGCCACCAGACACTCTGCCCCACTGTGGCCACGGGCAGGGCTGCCTTCCAAGGCCTGGTGGCTCCAGGGTTTTGTAAGCGTCTGTGCCATGGAGTCTCACAGCCGGGCGGTTTCGGGAGCATCCACACTGATCACAGACCCAGTGGGTGCCGGCAGGGCTGGCCGCAGCTTGGCCAGTGATGGCCATGACACAGGGGAGCAGAACCCCGGGGTGCAGCCCTGCAGACAGTGGGGACTCGGGAGAAGCAGGGGCTGGACTGCGGGGGCAGGGGCTTGGGGGAGGGACAACGGATTCTTAACCATTTTAAACACATGGAAGACCTCAACTATCCCGTTCTTCAGCAAGACTCTGCCTTCAAAGTCTCATCTTGGCTGTTCTAACGTAGAGAACATGAGCGGGAGTCCAGGGCAGCCTCCAGCCCAGAGGTGGACCCAGGAGTGTAGGACCCCCAGGGGCTCCTGCTGCCAGGCAGGGTGCTGTGCCCCAGGCCCATTACCAGTGGGGGCCATGTTGTGTGCTCGCAGCAGAGTCTGCAGCAACAGACTGGGACACTGGGCTCCAGGCGTGGCCAAGGGGCTCCCCTCGGAGATGAGAACCCCAGGCCATACCACTGAAGCCAACAGAAAAAGAGGTTTAATTACACAGGAGGAAGGGCCAGAGTCCCAACGGGAGGCAGGCAGCCTGAGAAACTCTAAGTGCAGCTAAGTGAGGGCCACACACACCTCTGAAGGGCCGAGGCCCCCAGAACAGGAGAAGATGCAAAAGGAACAGGTACTGTTTTGAAGGGGCTCGTGTCCCCAGACTGAGAAGCATGGAGTCGGGGTGCTAGAAGCGGGGACACCGAATCCTTGCAGGACCGGGGGTCAGGGCGGACGCCGGGGCTGGACCGGTGTGGGTGTGTGTGCCGCGAGGGGCCAGTGGGCCCACAGGGCGTTACTGCAAACCATACCAGCCATCAGGGAACACCCCTCCCATCCGGTTTCCTCGGGGAGCAAGGGTGGGGCCTGACCTTGCTTTGCCCAAGCTGACATGGGTCCACACAGGAGCCCTGCTTCCTGGGGCCTCAATGAGGGATCCAGGGTGGCTGAGGAACACCCCAGTGGGAATCAGTCCTGTCTCCCCAGCCCAGTGGACGGACCACAGCCCCGTCCACGTGGGCACCCAAGAAGTAGGGCTGGCGTGCTTCTCCCCCGCACCCCTCCAAGGCCTGGGAGTGAGGCCCTAGCCTCAGGTGACCCCTGCCCCATGGAGGGCCACTGCCCACAGCCAACAAGCCCACTGTCTCCTGCATTAGCGGGGAGCTGCACGCCTCCCTCTGTCTCTGACAAGCACCAGCCAAAAACCCTGCCTTCCCCCCTCAGCAGCACACAGGAGGGGCTCAAATAACTGAATTAAGACTGAAGGAGAGAAATGAGCTAAGACCTGTGGGGGAGCGCAGGGTGGAGGGTGGGGCGAGGGCAGGTGCCCCGGGCTGCCAAGAACCACGCTCTTCATGCATCTGCAGAAGTGAGGGGGGCACCAGGCTGAGGCGAGGCAGCTAGCACTCAGGGGCTGTGGGGCCTGGTGCCCAGAGAAGCTACGGCCTCACCAGGCAGGACAGCCGTGGAGGGAGGACAGGGTGATCGGCTTGCAGAGCTGAAGCCACTCAATTAAAAGCAGACAGCTGCGTGGGCACACACCAGGACACGGGAAAGCCAGCGGCCCAGAGGAGGGGCTCTGGGGCCAGGCAGCCGGGCGCCTCCTGGAGAGGCCCCGAGTCGTGCACGAGGCCCTCCGCACCCACACTACCACCACGGCCACGCCTGTCCACCACCAGCTCAGAGACCTGAGCAGCCACCCCGCTGAGTGAGACAGCCTCAGTTTCCCCTCTGTGACAGCATCCTTCCCTTCCTCACACGGTGCTGTGAGCGTTTCAGCAAGCACGGCCCCTCATGGTGGCCAGTGGACTCACACAGGTGACCTTCCGGTAGATCTGGGCAGCGTTCTGGCACTCGGAGTAGGGGTACTCGGAGGTAGCCATCTCCAGCATGCACATCCCAAAGGCATAGACGTCCACGGACTCGTCATAATGCTCCTCGTACATCTCAGGCGCCATGAACTCAGGGGTACCTGTGCCCAGGAGCAACGGACTCAGGGTCAGCAGTCACTGGGCCGGGGAGCCCCTCCCCATCAGGCCCGGAACCTGCAGTTCTAACAGGACTGCTCTGCAGACAGTTCCCGAAAACGCCCCCCGGACCCTCCCGATTCTAGGTCACATCAGCTCACGGCACTAGGAGCCCCCACAGCTCCAAGCCTGCTACTCCAGAGCCAGGGCACAGTCTGTGCCCCGAACACAGGAGGCGCCGCACGCCGAGAAGCATACCCCTCCCGGCCACAGGCCCGACCGCCCATGGCAGACAGACACTCCCAGTCCCCACAGAGCAACCTAAATCACAAAATCCCACAAAGGCCCCAGATGTCCCCAGACAGACACCACATGGCGGTGTGTCAGGCAGCACAGAAAGGAGCATCTCTGCTGAAGGTGCCGGCCAGGTGCCCGCAAGGTGTTCCTGGCACAGGCGGTTCCAAAATGACGCCTCCTCGGAGTTTAACACATGGAGTAAAACAAAGTATTCGGCTGTTCGTGCACAATGACCTCTCCACAAACAGCAAGCATAGACCCAGGAGGACACGTCAGGGAGGTGGGGTTCCAGCTGATTTTTCCTTTAGTTACACTGGTCTGGGGATTTTTATTTTTCCGTAACAAGCTTCTGCTTTAAAAATCACAAAATCCTCCTATTAAAACAGGTCCAACCGAGTGCCTGTCCAGCCCAACACAAAGCAGAGGGAAACGTCGGGAATGTCTCCACCTTCTCTGCTTCCTCCACCTCAACCCTTTCCCGTTTCTTTAAAAAGCAGATGCAGAACAGCACGGGCTGTGTTCAAAAGCATGTGTTCAAATGTTTTCATGGCTCTGGGACACAGAGAGGTGACAGGACATTTCAACTTGTTCTCATGCACCCACAGTTTCAATGTAACCTGTATTATACGTTTAACGAAACAAGTGAACATTCTGGGTAAGAAATGGCAAAATCGAGAATCTATCTTCAGGTTTACATGTGTGTATAAAAAATTCTAGGAGATTCTGGGGGCGCCTTAGGGGGGCTCAGTATGTTGAACATCTGCCTTCGGCTCAGGTCATGATCCCAGGGTCCTCGGACTGAGCCCCGCATCGGGCTCCCTGCTCAGAGGGAAGCCTGCTTCTCCCTCTGCCTTTGCCCCCAGCTCATGTTCGCTCTCTCTCAAATAAAATCTTAAAAAAAAAAAATTCCAGGAGATTCCAAATCAGAAATAACGGGAACAGGGTGGTGGAGGAGAGAGCAGGAGTCTGAGGGACCTTGCACTGGGAATATCTTCATCTTTTTGGGGTTCTGAACCACGTGACTGCTGGCAATGATTTGCACTTGGCTGTGGGCATCCACAGGGGAAGAGGGAGGCCGGCTGAGCTGCCCCAAAGCCCCACAGAGCCTGCCTTTCGGGGGACGGGGCACAGGAGGTGGGGGTGCAGGGGTGGGGGCCAGCTTCGAGCGGGGCTGGGGATGCCCACATGCGCTTGGGCCACGGACACAAACTTTTTTCTCTTTCCTCACTCTGCAGCCACTTTAATCGAGTGTTAAAAAGAACATGTGTGTGCTCACACCCCCACACACGTGTGTGCCTGGGGCACCTCCCTGGCCCCCCAGCCCCACACTGCAGGTGTCCCGGCCACCATGGCTATGAACACCTGCAGGCAGCACCAGCTGAGGACCTGGCCAATGCAGACACAGGGAGAGCGTGGGGACACCATCAGAGGCAGGTGGCTCTCAGGGACGAACCCCACAAGGGGCCTATAACCCACAGCTGTGTGTGCACACGGCATCAAGGGGCTGTGGCCACAGGGCTTATGATGAGGACACCTTCTCACCCAATCCATCCCCCTCCTTCCCAATGGCCAACACAGAGCCCCCAGGCCTGGTGCCACAGGGCTCCCCAAAGCAGGTGGAGAGGTCCTCAGACACCGCCCCTCAACGTCCAACATCCAACATGGGCCGCATCTGAAGTACAAACCCAAACACAGGCACAAACCCCCGACAGCTTTGCCCAGAAGTGGATCCTCAGCATCAACTGTCCCTGAAGGTACCCTGGACACAGCACAGAGCAGGGAGCCTGACTCACAGGCTTGGGGGACCCTCCCCCCACCTGACAGAAGGCCCCCCACCCAGCTGCTGGCCCTTTGCTGCCCAGGGCCCAGGAAGATGTGTTAATTGCCTCTCATTCTCCGTGAGTTTGGAGCTTCCCCCAGTTAAGCAAAAGCTGAAGTGACCAGGGACCCCACAGAGCTGGGCCCCCTGTGCTGGGCTTGGGGCTGATGCACCTGCTGGAAACGCCCAGCCTTCACATCACTCCATCAGACCACCCAGCCTGTGTCCAGTACCCTGACACCCCATGTCCAAGAGGGACAGAGCCACCAGCCAGAGAAAGCCCAGGGAGCTTCACCAGGTACCCCACCCCCAAAGTCAGACCTACGAATCCTGCTCGGAAATTGCCAGGTGATCAGAGATGTGCTCCCTGCAGCCAGGCCCCTGCCCATTTCACGGAGAGAGAAACCGAGGCCTACGTCGGCCACCACCCCACCACTCAACTCCCCAGAGCTACCAGAGGCCCCTGTCCACAGGGCACCCCTGGCGGCCACCCTGCCCCAGATGTCACATTCCAAACCCACTAACCCCGCCAGAGAAGTTTCCAGATTCCCAGCGGTTTCATCTGCCACAAGTTCTGTCCCCAAATGTGCATCAAAACCATGGACTTGCAAAACCCTGACATCACCCTCTCGTCCTGCTTGTGTCCCCACACAGGGCTTCAATGGGCACGGGAGCCTCTCCAGGTCCCACCCGACCCCAGCTGATCTGATCAGGATTTCTGGAGTTACACCCCGGAGCGGGCTGGCCCTGCAGCAGGCTGGCACTCCCCAGACGTCTCGAACCCCATCAACAGCCGCCCCAAAGCCCTTGCAAGCGCTCTCTCTGCAAAGCCCTGGAGAGGCCCCGCCCAGCGCCTGCCGTGTGCTGGGACCCCAGCGCAGCCTCAGTTCCTGCGTGGCAGCTGAGGATGGGGGCCTCACCCAGAAAGGCCACGGGGCCTTCTCGGAAGAGGACAAGAAACACAGGAAGACAAGGTTAGCAAACCAGCACCCACACCAAATCCCCATGCTGGCTCTGGGCCCCAGCCCCCAGGGACTCCCTGCGGTGGGCCTCAGGGCCTGGAGAACCCGCCTCTCTGCCTGCTCCAGACTCACTGCCACAAACCCCGAGTCCCTCTGTCATCGAGGCCTCCTTCCCGCTGAGTGTCCACCACCCGCGGGCCCCAGCAGCCTCACCCCCCGACCCACACAGCAAGGGACCCCCAGGCAGGGCCCCGGGGCAAGGGCTTACCGATCACACTCTTGGCAAAGGACGCTCTCTTGAGAGTGGCCAGGCCCAAGTCGCCGATCTTCACGGAGCCGGTGGGCCCTGTGATGAAGATGTTGTCGCACTTGAGGTCCCGGTGGATGATGGGGGGCGTCCTGGTGTGCAGGAAGAGCAACCCCTTCAGGATCTGCCGGCACCAGCTGCGGAGCACCTTGGGCTTCATCACTTTGAACCGCTTCAGGTACCTGCGGGTGGGGGTGCAGCTCACCAGTGGCTCCCGCTACCGGGGGGCCGTGGAGTCACCACCCAGATGGAGACATTCCTGAGACAGGCCCCGGCAGACGAGAGGCCCGGCGTCCCTGCCTCCGCGGCCCCTGCGCCTGGACCCGGCCCGCCCCAGGGTCCAGCCAGCAGGCGGGGGCGTGCTCACGTCTTCAGTGTCCCCGAGGTCATCAGCTCCGTCACCAGCACGATGCACCTCTTGCCCCTGGCGCTGGACTCCCAGAAGTCATAGAACCGCACGATGTTGGGGTGCTGCAGGCCCTTGAGCATCTCGGCCTCCTCCTTGAACCGCTGCCTCTCCAGCTTGGTGAGCTTCCGGTCCTGGAGAAAGACACAGGCTGAGGGGCAGACGCCCTCCACGGAGCCAGGGAGCCCAGGCCGGAACCCACCGGCCACCCCTGCGGCTCCGTGTGTAAGGACACAGCAGAGGGAGAGGACCGGGCGTCCGGGGCCGCAAGGGGTTTGGCCCAGTCCCTCTTGTGGCATCCTCCCACACCCAACCCCACAGCCCTGTGGCCCTGGATGAGCCCCTGCGCCAGGACCTCAGCAGAAAGATCTCTGGGAGCCAGAGACAGCTGAAAACCCACACGGCAGCGCTCACACACTCTCCCTGAAAAAACACCTCCAAGGCCTCACGTCCTCAACACCTGCTTTGAGTGCTGTCAACAAGAAAGACATCGGTTCAATTCCAGTTTACACACAACTCCGAGGACACGTTCACGCCCAGAGCAGATGGGAGCCCGAAAACCAGGGAACCCGACGGGAGACCAGGGTCCCCGCCGGGCCCTGCGGTGCTGGAGAGCACGGCAGACATGCCTCCTGGGTCTGCAGCTGACCCCAACCGGAAGTTCACACAGGACACGGCACCACCACCATCCGGGTGCTGAGAGGCCCTGTGGGGGGCCGCCCACACAAGGCTCCAGTCCCACGCCACGAGGAAGACCACCAACACCCTCCCCACACTCGAACCCCACCCTCAGCTCCCTCCCTGCACTCCCTGCCCCCACCTGCCACCACCCAGCCCTACCGGTCGGCCACACCTGCAGCGTGCGTGGCCCTTCCAGACACCCTCCAGTCGGCTCTCAGCACAGAGCACTCAGAACCACCCCAGAGCTCTGTCGTTTCCAGCCTCGTCCCCCAGGGAGCCGCACCTCTGCAGGACCCAGGGTGGCCGTCTCCCCACACCTGCGCCTCCCACCAGCCCTGCCCCCACAAACCCTCATCAGCCTCTTGCTGCGCGAGTGGGGCCTGGCAGGGCAAGGAGATACCAGGAAAGCCGTCGCACAGCTGACCCCAGAAAAACACAGAATTCAGGGACAGAGGCAACTTCAAAAAATCTAGTTCATGTGCTCACGGGGATCGAGGAGGCTGACATACATTAAGTAAGAGCAAGACTACTTAAAAAGGAACAATCAAGGGGCACCTGGGTGGTTCAGTCGGCTGAGCGTCCGACTCTTGATTTCGGCTCAGGTCATGATCTCAGGGTCATGAGAATGTCAGGCTCTGCGCTTGGTGGGGAGTCTGCTGGAGGTTCTCTCCCTTGCCCCTCCCCCCATTTGTGCTCTAAAAAAATAAATAAAATCTTTTTTTTTTAAAAAGAAGGAACAATCAAGAAAGTGCTCTTGGGGGGCCCCTGGGTGGCTCAGTCGTTAAGCGTCTGCCTTCGGCTCAGGTCATGGGATCAGCATGGTCCTGGGATCAAGCCCCGCATCGGGCTTTCTGCTCAGCGGGAAGCCTGCTTCTCCCTCTCCCACTCCCCCTGCTTGTGTTCCCTCTCTGGCTGTGTCTCTCTCTGTCAAATAAATAAAATCTTTAAAAAAA